AAACAGTGATCCACAGAGAGAAAGTGATTTGTTTTCTCTAGTTAATAACCCCTTCTGCAGACTGGAATCCTTCATATGCAGGAACACGTAAGCCAGTCTGAGGTTTCAGCACTGGGGCTCCTGGCTCCAATCCATAGCTTTTGTTTGCTGAGACAGACAGCATTTGGAGTTGGAATGTGGCAAAGCTTGTCAACACACAGGGCTTTTCTCTGCTTTCCAAACACATGTGAGGCAGACTGGCTCTCTGTGAAGCTGTGATCTTTTCTGGGGAAAGGAAGTGTCACATGCAAGTCAAGAAGCAAAACATATTTGGAATCAAGAGGAATAATTGGTCTGGGCATCAAAGGGACAAATTCTGATCAGTTGACAAATATGTTACAATTATTTTTAGGTATAGATGTTGATCTAGATTAGTCTAAATCAGTATTGCCTTATGGAATATGCATATGTGCTTAAAATAGAAACCGTTTAAAAAAAAAACAACAAAAAAACCTGAAGGGTTTTTGGAACGGTCAGCATTACTCAAGAAAAGCAGACTGGTGCCAGTGCCCCAGAGAGGCACAGTTATACTGACACTCCCCTGGATGTTACCCCTCTCTTCCAAAAGCAGCACAATTACACATGTCAAACACCTTAGGAGCTTTCATTTCATCTTTCATGGTGCTAAACACAGCAATCTCTGGAACTGGAAGCCTTAGGTAATGGCTTCAGTCAGATACCCAAGACCCAGAGACGCATGAGCTGAAAGCATTACCACAGTAATGCTTCATCCAGTTGAGGCTAAATGATTAGTGCACAGTACTCACGAAAGAAAAAATTCAGTTAGATACTCCTGGAGGTGATTAGAGGTTTACCTCTCTTCCAGGACCTCAGACTATTTTGGCCAGGACTCACGTCGTTATCACTGGGATGCACCATCATCACTAGACGGAAGATACTTCTTGGGTCATCTCTCACTTATGATGGATCTGTTGCTTCCTTTCCACTCTGAAAAGACTTCATGTTTTAGACCCACAATAGTCTCTACCTTCCAGTTTCCCAGTGACAGCATCTTTCAGAGGAGCCCTCCCTGCCCCACAATTGAGTGTTTCATCTTTAGCCAAGGTCCTTTCCTTAGGATTCAAGTAGGCTTTTGAGTGCCCCAAAGCCAGGCACCAAAGTTATTTTTCTTTGACTTTCTTCTTATTTACCTAAGAATTATTTCTGGAGGAAATATTTTTTAATTTAAACATGCATTAAAGTAGGGTTTCAGTTCACTGTGCCATACTAACTTATGTATAGGATAGTATGGAATACCTTTGTGCATAGTAGGTGAGAAACCGTGGTCATTTCACGCTTTGACTTTATTTTCCATGGAATTAAATTAAATACACCCTTCTGTAAGGATTTTGTGTATCTGTATTTGTTTATATCTAGTCTTGCTTAAGTTAGGAAATATTAGAGAAAAGAACAACAAAATTTCCTCTCATTGCTAAAGGTGTAAAAACCCCAGTGCTTCTTGTGTGGCAATTTTATTGCCAGTGAAAGAATGAAGATAATGAAGTTAAGAATGTGTATTTGGTTAAAAAATACATCAGATGGTGTGGAACTAGCTTGAGAACACTTGCTTTGATATGACTTTAATTTTATCAAAACTTGGACTTGTTCCAGCTTTGCCTTGGAGCATCCTATTCAAGTACATGTCTCATTGCCAAGATCCTCATGCAACTGGAGGGACCTTGGTAGAGCCATGTGCTTTGGAAATGGTCAAACTGGTCTGTGGCTTAGAGCTGTGGAAAAAATTCATTTGTTCATTCAACAAATATTTATTGAGCATCTACTACATTCCAGGCACTGTTCTAGGACCTGGAGGCATAGTGAAGTAAACAAGGAACTATCTTTGCCTTTGTGTGTTCCAGAGGAAGGAGACAAACATAAAAAATAGGAAAATCATACAGTATGTTAAGAGGCAATTAAATGGTGTGGAAAATAATAAATTAGGGTATAGAGAAAGAGGGGTGCCAGAGGAAGGGAATTGCTATTTGAAATGGTGTAGTCAGAATAGGCCTAATAGAAAAGGTAATATCTGAGCAGAGTTAGAGGTGAGAGAGTGAGACCTGAGATTATATGAGAGAAAAGCCATTCTAAGCAGAGTTTAGCACACACAAAGGCCCTGAGGTGGTAGTATACCTACTGTATTCCAGGAACAGTAGAGAACTCAGTGTGACCACACAACCCAGAGTGAGTGAGGAGAAAGGTGGTAGAATCAGAGAGCTAAGAGAATGAGCAGGAGATCGTATGGGGCCGTAAACATTTTCAGGCATTCAGCTCTCACTCTGAGTGAAATGCTGAGCCAATGGAAGGGTTTGAACAGAGGAATGGTAAAATCTAACTTTTCTTTTAGAGGGTTTACTGTGGATGCTATGTTGAGATTAGATTGCAGAGAACAAGGGTAAAAGCAAGCAGACTAGTTGGGAAGTGTTGTATTAATCCACCTGAGAAATGATACTGGCTCAGACCAGGGGGTAGCAATGGAGGTGGTGAGGAGAAAAATGACTGGATTCTGGACATATTTTGAAGGTAGAACCAACAGGAATTCCTGACCATCTGGATGTGAAGAGTGAGAGGAGGCGAAGAGTGGCATATGATGGCCAGGTTTGGGGCCTGGTCAACTAGAAAGGTTAGGATAGGCTTTATGGCAAGGCTGTTAGGAGCCTCGTTTTGAACATGTTCAGTTTGAGATGTCTACTTGACAATATGTGGAGATGTCTACTAGGCACTTTAAATAAACAAGTCTGGATTTCAGAAAAGAGGTTGGAAATTTAAATTTGAGATATGACAACACAGAGCATTTAAAGCCATGAAACAAGATGAGATCACCAAAGGAGTGAGTGAGAATAGAGAAGTTCAAAAACTGGGCCTTGGAGCATTCCAGGGTCAAGAAGTCAGAGAAGAAAGGGTGAACTAGCAAAGGAGTAAGCAGTGAGGTGGGGGAAAACCGGGAGAGGTCAGCTTCCCACAGACCAAGATAAGAAAGTCCTTCTAGGAGGCAGGAGTGATCTACTCTGTCCAATGCTACTGATGACAAGAATGACCAGGACTGAAAATTGACGACTGGTTTTAGTAATGAGGATGTCATTGGCGAGCACACCAGAAACATGACAATATTTTCCCAATATTTTAGAGCAGGTCATGGGGATGACTGGTTGACAAAGCCCACACCCCATGACTCTGATCACCCAGTTTTTCAGGGTGATAACTTTACTGAGTGAAACGCTGGGGGAAGGGGTTGCACAGTGCTCACTATTCGATAAGACCAAATTGGGTAGGACTCTTTCTCCCACCCTTTTAATAGCGTGTAGGATTCTCGGGTCTTTACGGAAATGAGGGAAAGGAAGAGGAGGAGTGCCTTGAAGGAGCGTAGGTGGAGCTTCTGATCAGTTTTGGTTGGGGTATCTCACGCACTGCCTTTTGGGAAATGAATGGACCTCATTGATTAAACTTCAAACTATAAAGATGCTCTAGAAGCCATTTCATTTGTATGCATTATTTGGGATCTCTTTTTTTCCCTCAATGCAGCCATTAACTTCTGTGTGAAATAATAGATAACACTATGTAAAAATTATTTTTACCTTGTGTATGTAAAAAAATCAATATTGGCAAAGAAGACAATGAAATCACATACAAAACCCTGTGCATATCTTTTCAGGTAGAAGAGATATAAAGTTTTCATCAAATGAGCAAAGATTAAGAGCTACTTATGTAGAGTGCAAGGCTTTTTAAAAAATGAGCCACAGGTGCACAGAATTATATTATGGCTGTATTATTCTAGAAATTACTATTAATATATTGCCTGTTTCAGTAGCTTCATGGTAATTATTTAATACCAACCAGCTCAATTTTGTGGGGAGGGCTGATCTGTAGTTATGTCCCATTTCTGTGGTGTAAATACTTCCATCATGGCCCATTTCAAACTACCAATGTGAAGCCATTTGGACCTACCAACAGAAATCACACAATTGATTGTTGGGAGCCAGTGGAAACAGGCTCCAACACACCACTGCCTTATTTACATGTGAACTAATTCTGCTTCTGCCTGAAACCAGTAAATTAGAAAGCAAACTAAACTTAGGAAAGGAAAATGGAAATGTAAAGTGTTATATAATTAACATGTATACGATGTACAGTATATAGTATAAGATATACAATATATAAAATGTCATATATAATTATATTAAATATTATATAATTATATTTTCAAGAAGTGTCACAGAAAACCTCAGGAAAGAGGGCAGGACAGGAAACTCATATTTGAATATGTATTACATGTGAGCATATGTCACACACATTATTTAATTCTCACACCTCTGTAGCACAGGTTTATTAATCCTTATTTTTAAATTGAAAATAGGTTCAGAGAGGATAATCCATTAGACCACAGTCACACAGACAACAAATGTTAGAGCCAAGACTTGAACCCAGATCTACCTGACTATTCCCCTAAACCAGTGTATAGAAGCTCAGAGTATTGTCCACGAATTAGTAGGATAAATTCTGATATGTTAATTGCCACCTCAGTGGCACAATACTAGTATATTTATTACCTCCTGTATATTAAACTGAATTATAAATTATTACATGAAAACACTTATTTTGATGGTCTAAATTTTGTAGCATATTTATCCTCCTTGGATTATACATATTCTCCAAAATTATAAATCCTTTATCAGTACTGTAGTCAAGTCATCCATTGACTCTGATTTGTTTCCAAGAACACTACTCAAAAGAGAAAGAAGAGGGGAGGGATAACTTAGGAGTATGGGATTAAGAGATACAAACTGCTATACACAAAATAGATAAGCAACAACGATTTACTGTACAACACAGGGAACAATATTTAATATCTTGTAATAACCTATAATGGAAAATAATCTGGAAAAATATACATGTATATATAAGAGAAAGAAGCGAATATAATTAGTGTCCTTTTTAACAATACCTGACGTTGCATTGCTGTCAAGGCTACTACATGTACATCGAGGCTTCCCACATGGTGTACGGACAAAAAGCACGACTCTTGTCCAGGCCTCTACGAGGAGTCACTGGAAAACACTGCTTGACCTTTTTCTACCACATGTATGGAGCAGGGACTGGCCTCCTGAATGTTTATTTGAAAAAGGAAGGTGGCAGTGAAGAGTCCCTCTTATGGAGAAGAAGAGGTGAGCAGAGCATCTCCTGGCTACGAGTGCTGATTGAATACACCTGTGAGAGGCGACACCAGGTAAGCCAAAAGAGATAAGAATCAAGTGATGGGAAATGTTCCTTTAACCTTCTGATGCTCTTCCTTTTTCTTGCTACCATCAAGAATGTTTTGTTCTTTTTCAGGGTCACAGATAAAGGCAGTACGTGTTTAAGAGTAAAAATAATTAGTCTATATTGACTGAACCTAAGCAGTGAATGGGAAATCAGGCAGAAAGAGAAAGCTTTGGGTATTTATGCATAAAGTGATTTTTGCAACTCAGTGATGAAAGTGTATCTATTTTTGTCTTGGTGCATTCTGAGTGTCAAGTATATTCTGTGTATCCTGCAAACCTCCAAAACAGAGTCTCTCTTTCTTCTAAACATGGTGTTACCTAATTAGTTGTTGCAGCTGCATCTTTCACTCATCATTAGCCACACACAAGGGCTTTTGTTGTAAGCTTCTATTTAACAGAGTATGTGGTCCAGAGTAAATTTTTAAGCCTCTGTCCGCACTGATGCAGAAGAAACTAGTCTTGATCCTATGTCCTGGGTCTCCCCTTGGGTCTTCTCACGGGCGGTAGAAGACCTCCATCCTACAGGATCCCAATTATAAGGGAATCTGGACAGCAATAAGAAAGAGCCTTTTCAATTCCAATGGGTGAGATTGAGCAGCCAGTTAGTCTAGAAATCAGCAGCAGCCTCCTGAAAGCCACTGACTTCACCTGCCTGCCGTGAGCCAAGGCTCCAGAAAGCTCTGGGGAGATATCATCAGACCCCTGACTCTTCCTCAAATTGCTCTATAGAATTCCAGGTGTGACCTTCAGCTAAAAGCCCTACTTCCTCCTCATCCTTGCTTCTGGACCAGCACCCCTCAACTTCAACCACTGGCCGCTTGGTTTAAGCAAATCTTAAAGGAAGATTTAAGGGAGAAGTATCCAAAAGAAAGACATTATTTTACACCAGCCCTTAACCAAAATTAATTTTCTGCAGATCTAAATGGGAATGAATTGCAGAAGCTCAGGTGACCAGGTTACAGTGCCATCTAGGGTGCTGGATTGCTAAGAACAAATGACAGAGGGAAGATGTGCCATTATTTACTGTTGGCCCATTATCTCGGCATGGATAAAATTATCTAAAACTTTAGCAAAGAAAAAAAGCCCCAGGAATAATTTTGATAGTGATTTAATATCTGCTTACAGAAGGAAAATGGATCACTCAGGAACTTATTGATATCATTGATCATCATTCAGAGATGATGAATTAATTTTTTAGGCTATCAGGGCACTCATACTCCTACCCTATTCAAATGTCCTCAAAGTGTGGTCCTGAGACCAGCAGCAACACCTGAAATGCATATGCACCTAATATGAAATTCACCTGAAATACACATTCTCAGGCCCCACCTCAGAACTACTGAACCAGAAACTCTGGGGATTAGGGCCCTGAAATCTATGTTTTAACAAGCCTCCTGGTGATTCTGATGCACTCTAAAGATGAAGAATCTCTGTTATTGGGAGAAAGGAATCTGAGTCTCTCAGGTGGAGCCTGAGCACAGATGTTTTTAAAAAGCCCCAAATGATGCTGATGCAGAAGAGCTCTAGAATTTGAGTTCTATGGAACAGGTGACTTCCCAGCATCTAACCTGGGGGCCAGGTACAGGTCCTTGCATATACTAGACTTGCTAGGTGGCTTGTTGTTTGAAAATATTTTTGAGCACAAAGTAGTGAGGCACCTGGGGTGGCATCTTGGGGTGTTCAAGTTCAAAGGTGAGGAATGACCTGAGAGACTTTCAGCTCTCAATTTGGAAAGAAGGTTCCAGACCATTCCCTTTGGCTCAGAATGGAACAGATGTGAATCTGCCATAAAGAATTTTCTTCTTGATTTTGTGATTCCCTCAGGACTGTCTGGAGACCACGATGAACTAGGTTCTCCAAAACATCCTAGTGTCTAATAAAACACAGAGACACTCATGTGCAAATGGCCATCTTCTATGGCCAGGTACTTACAGTGCTGAGAGCTGTGCATGAGTTCTTCCAAATGATATTATAGCTCCTCTTTAAAGATGGGGAAAACTAAATCTCCAGCTGGTCAGTGGCAGAGTGAGAACTCAATCCCAGATCTGACTGGTTCCAAAGTTTGTATCTCTAAGCCACTGTTCTACATTCCCTCCCACCATAGAAGTCCCAAAATACACTCATTGCCCTGGGTGCCACAAGCACTGAGTGATCTTGGAGAAATGTTATCCTCTCTGAGACTGTTTATACATTTTCAAAATGGGGTAATAATGCCTGCCGTGCTGATATCACCAGAGTTAGAGTGAGGGTCCAATGAGATTATGCTTGTGAAAGGGTTTATAAACTTTAAAGTACCAAACCATAAAAAGATACTATTATTGTTTCTAAAAATATATTCTCTCCCAAATATCTCTGGTCTTTATAACCATGGCAGACTTGGTAATCTCAATAGCTACATCAGGCATCCAGACTGAGATCCTATAGTATGAGGCCAAAATATCTCCTTTTAATAAATATTTATTGACCATTTACTATTTTTAAGTGCCGGGGATACTGCAATGCACATAGCATAGAGTTCCTACTCTTTTTTAGTTTACATTTTAGTGGTAGAGAGGTAGAAAATGTGAAACAAAAATATACAATGTAACATCAGGTGTTAATAAGTGCTATGAAAAAGAATAAGTCAAGCTGATCAGGTAATGAGGTCAAAGAAGTATCAGGGAATACTCATGTAAGGCCTTGGGTGACATGGTAGAGTTTGAAATTTATTTCAAAAGCAATGAGAAACCATCAGATGGCTTTAAGGTAATACAGTCTGATTTATATTTTAAAACGATCACTCCAGGTACTACATGGACAGTAGGCTGCAGTGGAGTAGACTCTGGGGGCTCCTGCAAGAGGAGTAGGAGTGGTGGGTTGGGCTGTGCAGCAGAAGTGAGATGTCATCAGAAGCCCACAGCACTTCCTTCCGTGTGGAATGTGGGGTTTGAGAGAAAGAGTCAAGATGACCTCAAAGTTTTTGACCTGAGCAACTGCTAGAGTGGAGTCACTCTTTGTTGAGATGAGGAAGACCTTAGGTGGAGCAGATCTGGAGGAGTGAGGGTGGTATGTGCAGGAGGGAAATTAACAGTTGGTTTGGTCTGGTTTGGTTTTTGATGTGCAAAGCTTTTGATGTCTATCAGACATCCAAGTGGGTGTGTCAAGTAAAAATAGGCTATGAGACTGGAGATCAGGAAAATGCACAGAACTAGAGAAGTAAATGTGTACATCACTAGTGGTGGTGGGCAGGTGTAGGTGATTTTTAGAATGCTGTAGTACTGCCGTCATTTGAGATTTATCCTATAGGGGAAATACCTGGGTGGCCTCTGGATGATATTACAGTCATCAGACTTTTTTCTTTGTAGAAAAAAATGCATTAGGTGGCAAAATTTTAATCATGCCTTTCCTAAGGGATTTATTAAAGTGCTAAGCAGAACCTGACTCACCATTGATCAAAAAAACAAAATGATTTTATTTCCTTTGGATTCCTTGCTTACCTTTCCTCCTCTGCTCTCAGGTGTTTTCCTCCCTGATTTCTTATATTTTGATACCATTGAAAGAGAGTGTTAGACAAATTCTCAGCTCAATGAAATATTTATATCATTCATATTGTTCATTATACTGCCTAACATTTAGTAGGAATTATTATGTGCTGGGTACTGAGCTAAGACCAGGTCTTCAAATTTTCTTATTCATGGTACCCTTAATCTCAGTAATTTTTTTCCTGGTGCCCCTAGACCAAAAGATAGCTAATGTTCCATTTATCAAGTAGTGGAGTCCCAACAATAAGTATTTATGTGCTAATGACTTAGTAACCTTTTGAAAAAAATAATATACTTAAACTGAAAGAAAAAAATAATATTTCTATCTAATTCTAAAATAACCACAATTATTTAATAGAATTTCTACAGATACAAATAGGGAAATAATACAAAGGGGCAATCATGATGCTATAAAATGGTGATCACTCAAATATGAAGGAAATTCAAAGGAGAGGATTGTATGAAATCAAGTGTTTGGCCCAACTGAAGACAATTCAGGGTATAATTCCATCAGGTGATTTTCCTATTATACTTCCATTGCAGAGGTGGAGGTCAAAAAACAGATTTTACTGTTGTCCAGAAAACCAAAACACTTATTAACTACACTCATATATCTTCCTATCAAGATGTGTTAGGACATTTTTTCCTCTTTTTGCCATTTATTTGGATTCTTGTTTAGGGTCATATCTTTAGAATTTCTATTAATGTTATTTTGCAACATTTCCGTCGTTAAAGCTTCTTTGAGTCATTAATTTCAAGATAGTTTCATATGCTTATTAATTATCCACTTTATAGTCTCTGATTTAGTTTAAATCATAAACTAGTCCAATGGGGAGTGATTTGCTCATAAAATGAGTAGAGCAAATGTGTCTTCTGGACGATTTTCATTACCTACAAGCCTCCCTGGAGTATTCGGTGGTTTATTAACCATTATCAGAGCAGCCTTAGAGCTGGTAATATGATCTATTTTCCTTAGAACCTGAATATTTGATCAGCTATTTTCTTCTAGCATCTAAAGTCATGAAACTGGTTTCCTCTTTTTCTTGGGCTGTGTCTTGGATGTTATGGTATTTAACATGATAAGTGACCCATTGTCTTTTTGGTAAATTTAATTGTTATATGTTGCTGTTCATACTTGGGTCTCATCCGTCATTTTAATTCTCCCACCTAGTACTAGTATGAAGGTAGCTTTAGGGAGAGCCTAAGGAAGCTTAGGCTTCTGGGCCCCTCACTCTCATAGGCCCTGTGAGTACCGGGAGTAGAATGTTCCAGGTGGGGATGGAAACCAGGTCACCAACAGGAGGCATTTCTAGATGGGTATTTCTGGGAAATTGCCTAAAAACGTCTCAGAAGAAAGGAACTTGAATCTCCAAGGCTCCAGTAATTTTTGTGAATTTCTTTAAATTTCAAATAAATATTCCCTTTTGTACCTAAATTTGAATTGGTGATTTTGTATTCTTTTCCTGAAAGGGGGCCCCTGAGAACAATCTAGGCTTCCAGACCCATACAGCCTGGATTTGCCCTTGACCAGCATTGTTTCATCAGGATGACTCTATTTCTAAATTCAAACTTCATTATTTTTCAGATAATTTTTGAAGCCATTCGGGGAGTGTCAATAAGAAGTGATATTGCCATTGATGATGTTAAATTTCAAGCAGGATCCTGTGCGGGTAACAATATTTTTACAATTATATAAGTTTGACTGAAAAGGGATTTTGCAATAGTCTCAAACCATAAGAATGCAAATTAAGTATTTTCTGCAGTAAAAATAGAGAAAACTATTATTGTCTATTTGTCTTTCCTGACAGAAATGGAAGATATGACTCAGCACTCATCAGGATATTCTGAGGACTTAAATGAAATTGAGTATTAAGGAATGATCTGAATCGGATTAACTAAACAAAGCCATACCTCTCTTCAATCAAAATGAAAAAAAAAAAGACAAATGAATACTGGACAGTCTTAACCGTTTCATAAGTTATAAAATGACTTCAGAGCACTCTTTTTCATTACTTTTGCAAAAAATACTGACTCAGGGCTTTTTTTTTTTTTTTTTCTTATTTTTTGCATATGACAACTGTTACTAGAAGTACAGGCTGCTGGTTTTGCCTAGATCATTCATCTTAATTTTGGTACCAGTTAAAAATACAAATGTACTATATTGTAGTCATTTTAAAGTATGCAAATAAAGGGCACAATCAAAATGAGATGTGCTCACTTAAATCTGCATTCAGTGAATGTACTGGGAGGAGAATAGGTCTTGTGGGTTTTCTTTTGAAGTTCAAGTATCATAAATATTTTTGAAGTAATAATGTGAGGTGTCAGTAATGTCTGCAGAATGAATGCAGCTTTTCACAGTAACAAGTTAATCTAAGAAAATAAAGTCTTATTTTCTATGTTTTATTCATAGAAATGGAGTATTAATTTTTAAATATTTTTACCATATGTGATAACAAAGGATCTTTCATGAATGTCCCAAGGTATAAGTCAGTATTAATTAATGCTGTATTACAAGGCAATGCTACCTTCTTTTTTCCCCCTTTAAACCACTTTTGAAAGTCACTCTGAACACTTGGATAGAAATTGCACTCTTTTTTTGTAAAGCAAGCTTAAAAATGTTTATGTACACATACCCCCAGATTTTTATAATGGGTTAAACAATTTTACTGATGTTTTAAATAAATGTTTTGGTAATATTTTGAGTAATATGAATTCAAGCAGATATACTAGACTACTGCCTTTTATTTACATGTTTAGAAAATTGTATATACATATTTGTATACCCAAACAGCTGTTATGAAATTACGATTACCTAATAAAAAATAATTTGAAAATCTCTTCACTAGCAATTAACTTTTTTCAACATTATTTTTCTTTATCAGAATTACCTTCACTGTATAACTGCCAATTCTAATTTGAATCTCTCCTCTGCCACACTTAAATGCTTCTTAAGCCTTTTTATGTGTGACATAAGCATTGCAAACATGGATGCAATAATTAATTTTTAAGGAGTGTTTTATTTCACATAATCTCAATTTTCTCCCAAATTTTATCTTATTAGAATGTAAACTCTGTGAAGACAACAACTCTTTCTTGTTTTATTTACTACTGTAGTTTCAGTACACAGAAGAATGTCTTGGTATATAGTAGGTACTCAACAAATAAATACTTGAATGAATGAATTTAACCCACCAAACATCCCCAAAAGTGGTTATATTATTATCCCTTTTTATAGAAAAGGAAGCCAAGGTGCAGAAAAGTGAAAAAATTACTTAAGATTTTACCACTGTTAAGTGGAGAAATTTAACAGTCAGGTCTCTCTGACCCTAAAGCCCAAACCTCTTAATTGCTTTGTGTGGCCAAAAATCCACTGTGCTCATGGATTTGGGAGGTTTTCCCACTCAAGAATGTCAAAACCCATAAATTAATCTGTAAAAAGCATTATAGCTCCTCACATTACTTAGAAAACAAAAAATACTCCACTATACAAAATAAACATCCTGAAGTTCATGGAGAAAATAAAATAAACTTTTATAGTAAAGCAAAATTTTGTAACTCAAATCCTTTCTATTTATGATGATTAATTACCTATGGGGGGACATCCCTAAACAGAGTTGAAACACTGGGGAAGGAAGATTTCAAGATGTTGACTAATTCATCAGCATATTAGACGTTATAATTTCTTCAAAGCATTATTCCTGTCCAGAGCTTAGTTATATTTGCTGAATAAAGAACTGAAGATTGTGTCAGGACCTAACACAGTATGTAGTGCACAATAAGGGATTTATAATATGTGGTGAAGGAATGAAGTCATTCACCAGACTCCTTGCTTACAGATTACATAAATCCATGGTAATGATCATTGCTAACATTTATTGAATACCTATTATTTTCAGACATCGTTCAAAGACCTTTACATGTATTTGCTCATTTAATCCTACAACAATCCATGAGGTAGAGCTAGTGATATTTCCATTTTGTAAGTAGGAAAACTAAATCTGTCCAAGTTCAGCAGCTAGTGTAGGGCTTGGCTTTGTACCTTGATCTGCTTCACTGTTCTTGAAAAAAAGAAACAACAAGCCCAAAACAGAGTCACTCATGCTAAGCCCCACATCAGCAAACCAAGACTTAGTAGGTAACCTAACTGCAGTTATAACCTCCCCTAGGACTGTAGTCTTAACAGGTCAGTCTGGAATTTTCTGGTCAGCACCAATGAGGTAATCAGCCACATAAGCCCTTCCCATCCCTCACGGGAAGATGAAGTAATCCACTCTATCCTTTTGCCTTTCCCCTCCTGTCTATAAAAGGCTTCCACTTTATACAACTCCTTGGAGCTCTTCTCTACTTGCTAGATGGGCTGCTGCCCAATTCATGAATTGTTCAGCAAAGCCAATTAGATCTTTACAATCGGCTCGTTTGAATTTTTACTCAACACTGCCAAACCTGTGCTGTAATCCTCACAAGACTGTCTCCTGAACCTCCTAACTCTCCTACCAACTCCATCCCCAATACCAAAGGTTCCAAGTTTCCCTCACTCAAGAGGATTTATTGGCTACCAAAATTGCTCTGAAGGTTGCCAAACCAGAGATACTACTTGGAGCACTAGCTTTGGGAAGTGGAGTGGGGAGCAGGGGTTGGGGGCTAATTATTGATTTAGGGCAAAAAGGAAGGAGGTAACTATTACCATTTGTTGCTGAGAAACAACCTGAAGTTCATAGAAGAGAAGAGAGGAAGTGGAAGGTGAGCAGATGAACTTACCCTCCCTTACTCATGCCCCTTTTGCAGGATTTGCTGATTGGCTACTTCTCTTCCTTTTCCAGGTTGCCTTGGCCTTCATTTTAACTGTACTTCACCTGGATGAAAATATGGAAGAACGGTAAGCACAGTATTATTTTCTCAGGTTTAGAAATGCCCCAGGGGAAGGCATACTAGCTAATAAATACTGCTTAACCATTTAAACCCAGGCTTAGCATTTATTCCAATTCTCACCTAAACACATAAGTCCTTCAGATGGAAACTACTTTTTCACACAAATTGCCTTCTCTCCTATAATTTGCTGTCTGGGTTGGAGATTATGTATAGAAGGGAGCAAAGGAGAGGCTACTGGGAAAATAGTGACTCTGATGCAAGTTCTGGCTTAATGTGGAAGAAGAAAATGTTTAGCAAAGATTTGTTGAGAAATTTATGCTCCGGGCATTATACTAAGCATGGAGATTACATGTTAGTGAGGAAAATAGAGATGTAGCGCTAAGTTCGATGAGACCAGATGCCCAGGGAGGGCTTAGGAGGGGCATCTGCCAAGGGAGGGCAGGACAAGCCTCCAACTGCAGTCTGGGCAGAGCGGTGAGAACCAGCTCTAACACAGTGTTCCGGGTGCCCGATGTCTTCTGTCACTCTCTGGGGGCTAAGGCATGGGTTCTTTGACTTTTTCTCATGCAAGGGACTTGTTTTCCTGTGTGATTTAACCAGAACGGGGGCCGGTGGAGGTGGGGGGAGGGTTTTCGTACCGGTCATTCTAATATTGTGGCATTTTCAACGTGGATTACTATAAAGAGGGGAAACATAGTGATTAAGTGCACGGTTTCCAGATTCAGGCTGTCTCAGTTTAAATCCTGGCTTTGCCACTTATAGGCTTTGTGACTGAAGGCAAGTCACACCATCTCTGACTCCTATTACTAATCTGAAAAATGGGGCAAATACTTGTCTCTACTTCTTAAGGGTGCTGTAAAGATTAAATGAAAATAATACATACAAGCCCTTAGTGTCTGACACACAAAAGCCTTTCTAGTTTATATTATAAGGGTTGAATGAAATTTTTGGATAAATCACAGTTATTTTTATGTATCCTTTCTCTACAAAGGAATTGTGAGTTTATAGTGCCATCTTAAGGATAAAGCAACCATATGATTTTGCCATTTTATCATCTTTTTTTAAAATTATTACTCGCAATACAAGGCTCATTTTAACCAGCACCTGGGCAATGCCCACTTTGCCCTTCCCATTCCAGCCATTGTTAATGGTTCTTCTTTGCTGCTTACCTGTATTCATACCCCTTGCAAGATTTATCATGCTAAACCTAAATTCCTGCTTTTACGTCCATCTCCTCAAGAATGGCTGCATATTCAATTATGTACCTACTCTGCCTAGCATACTCAACAAATATTGCTGAACTAAATAAACAAATTCTCAATAAAGGCATTTAGTTTAGTACAAATATGTGTGTGGATTCCAAAAATCATGAAGGATATAAAGATTCTCTTTGGTCCATCAAAATTTCATGGTCTGGAAATCCACACACTAAAAATTTAACTTAAAAATATGTCACTGGCCACCTGGGGCACCTGGTAAAAACAAATATAAAGCTTCTTTGGAAGGCCATGCATTCAACCCAGGCTGTACAAGTTTCCCATGTATAAAACTGCATGGAAGGACTCACAATCCAAAAGCACAAAACGTTTAGTGAAACAGTCCACTAGAAGCACAAGTCAGCTGCCAACAAACAGCATAATTAGATACCCAAGACTTCATGGCCCCCATCCAGCTGTGCCATCACTCTAACATCTCTGACCCTCTTGTCTCCCTCTTATAAGGACCTTTGTGATTATATTGGGCCTACCTGGATGGTCCATGATGATCACCCCATTTCAAGATCTTTAATTTAATCACATCTGAAAATTCCCTTTTGCCATGGAAGGTAATATATTCACACATTCCAGAGATTAAGATGTGGGCATTTTGGGGGAGCCATTATTCTGCCTACCACAATTTTCTTTTGCTATTAGGTCAGCTCTCTTTAAAAGGCCAGTTTTGGTTTTTCCTTTTCAACTCCTCTATCTGCTTTATTTTCTTATCTGGCAGGCTAAGACATCCAATTTAGTGCTAAATAGAAGCAGTGATAGTATCATCCTTGACTTGTTCCAGAACCTGAGAATATTTCTAAACATTCCATCATTAAATATGAGTTTGCTGAAGGTTTCTGGTGTTGCCTTTTATTGGTTAAATGAAGTTTTCTTCTACTCAGTTTCCTAGAAATTTTAACCATGAATGTGTGTTGAAAATATTTTTTTTTCCTGCTTCAATCTTTCTCCTGAAATCTTTCAATATGAAGAATCATATTAATTGATTTGATTTGCTAATATTTAATCACCCTTGAATTCCTGTAATAAACCCAATTAAGTAATGACATTTACTTTTTTGAACATTGCTACATATGTGCAAATATGTTCATGAGAAAGAATGACAGAAAATTTTCTTTAATTTCCTTAGAAATTAGGGGATTTAGACAAGGTTAGACTCATAAGATGAGCTGAATGAAAAATCTTCCTTTTTTTTCTATTCTCTGAAAGAGTGGGTAGGATTAGAGTAGTGGCTCTCAACTGAGGACAATTTTATCCCTTACAGGACATTTGCCAATGTCTGGAGACATTTTTGGTTATCAAAACTGGGGAGATGTTACTGGCATCTAGTGGGTAGAGGCCGAGGATACTGCTGACCATCCTGCAATGCACAGGACAGCTGCCTCCTCTCCCGCCAGCAAAGAATTTTACCCAGAATGTCAATGGTCAGTGGTGCTGAGGCTGTGGTTTATTTTCTCATTCTGAAGAAATAATCACTCTCCTCGTTTTGTATGTGTAATTTGGTATTTTTTCAGAGAGGGCTTCAAAATTTATATAAGCTTCAGGCCCCATAGAACCTGGACCTGGTGGGAGAAAGAGAGGGCACCATATAGAGGAGGTGTGTGTGACAGAGGGAGAGAGAGATCATTGAGTCAAAGCCAATGCTAGAGAGAGGGGGAAAAAGAGAGAAATTTTGTTTAGACATAATTTTCAAATAATCA